CCAATAATAGTGTCATCACTAAAAAGATAGCATTGTCTTGCAAGTGTTGGTTTGTACATATAGGTGTTTCCTGACTGAAAGGAACATTTCAGTTAGCTGGACAAACACATAGGTACATTTGTATTAGATGGGAGAAAAGGAAAGAATGATTTGTCTCTGGTAAAGCAAGAAAACAAGAGAGACAACCCTGTGATAGATCTGTGTACAGTTAGTGGTCTACCTTGACACACAACCTTTCTAATCCCTTAGGGTAACTGTTAATCCCTGACCTTGATAAGATGTTAGGGAACTTCAACAACCTTGAACTACATCTTCCACCTGTTGCCAACTGAGTAGAAACTGTACACAGAGGATTATCAGGCAAGCCATCCATGGCCATTGTTGGAATGTCTCGGTACCTGATGCCAAAAATAAGAACCCTCATCAACAGTGGTGCATTCAACTGGTATCGTATGTTCATCAACGTTCGGGGTACTTATTTCCCTTGTAGCAGCATTTGCGGTTATCTAAGTTCACAGTGGGCACACATGTTTTCCATGCTGTAATGATTTAGCGGAGGTTGAGGCCTTTTAGAAACCCACCAACATTAAGTCACTGTGAATATTTCAAAGTTTACATGCAGTACTAGCATCTCAGCAGAAATTGTGGTTCATGAAGTCCCGCTGGGAGCCACTGTGGCCACCAGCTGTGTGGGAAGTGTGCCCCCAGCAGGAGGGTAATAAGCAGGCATTATCATGGGCAGTGACACCCTCCCCCTGTAATCTACTCCAAGTGCTTTATTGACTAAAGGGGAGGGACTCAGTAGACTTTAATAGACACTACTTTACTGTAACTTTATTGCTCAACAATTGAATAAAATGTATGGCAACTTGTACATTATACAATAGGATTAGACCATCTGGCTGTATAGTCTTTGGTAGAATTTCTCATGTCTAGGTGCTTTATTCTGTGCTATGCTATATTTATAATGCAGGGATTATCACATGTCAATATGTAGTGAAATTAGGTCCTTTAATGAGGAGTTCTGGTGCATAAGAGGAAGTCTGTCCTTGCTCTGTCCAATATGGCTTTGCTGTGTGGCCTTACATATATGCTGCCCAGGCAAATTAACATGCCACCAGGGCATCAGACTGTGGAGGTCATTAGATATGAATAGGCCCAGAGGGACGTGGCTTAGTGGAACTTGCCCCAGGCCTGATGGGATAGCCTGTGCAACCTGCTGCCACATACCTGCACATTCTTGTAAAAGGTCGTACCTCGCCCTGGGCACCAGGAAACATTTCTGTCCAGTCCCATATTGACAGTAACAACATGTCTTCAAGGGCTCAGCTGTCATATTGCCATAGTCTTAGAGGCGTTGGCCACCCCAGGTTACAGTGGACACTAGCATGTAACGACATGATCTTTCAGAGTGCAATTTTCAATGGCTTAACTCCCATTATTGTCCTGTATAATCCATTGCAGTTTCTCACATTCTTATCTTGTGATATACTTTATCCTTTTAATCACAGACAGTTTGTCAAATCCTTTAAGTAATGCAGGGTCTTAGAAAGACTAGTGGAGGCAGAAAAAGAGGTAGACAGCCAGACGTGTACTTAAGAGAGAGAAAAGAACGCTACGTGTTTCAAATGCTTGAAGTAATGCGGCCCTAGTTCTCTTTCTTACCTCGTTGTATAGCATAGCATACCACACAATAGCATCTATCCATTTCCTCTAATGCCCCTCCTAATGAATAGTGTGTTAGTTGCTTGGGGTCATGTAATTTGTTAGCGTAAATGTCTTTCTTTCCTTTGTATGGAGGTGAAAAAAATGACCAAGAGACCACCCAGTGGGCTGTGTGCAAACTCCCTTTGGAAAGACCCTGAATTTTCTTGAATTTCCTTGGGGAATAATTAAGAAACCAAGAGATCAGCTAGTAATAGCAACTTTTTGTAGAGCTTTATCAGAGGTGGGAGTTCTAACTTATGCCTGTAAATCCTGAACTGTTTCTTACTAATCCTATACCACCTGTGTTTATTCCTGTGTGGTAGGTTTTTCCCACAAGTGAAAGTAGCAGACATAACCACTTGGCAAGCAACTCTGAAGGAGTTGGCTCAAGTTACAATTTCAACTGCACTTTATTTTGAACTTAATAACTTCAAGTAATATCTGTGAGAAAGAAGGCAAATGTATTCTACATAATTCAGAAGCAGGAACTGTATTTACTCATATAACACGTCGCAGGTTTGATCTGCCAACAAGTCGATGGAATGTCTTTCAGTGGGAGTGAGCAATAATCTGATTGAATATTTGAAGAAGTGGGTGCATACTTGTAGAGAGGTGAGATTTGTTGTCACCTGCACCAGGTACTTATGATGTCCAGACTACTCACACCTTTCTGAAGTGGCCCAGGTGTCAGTCAGCAGCCCCTGGTATATGTCAGCATTAGCCTCTTATTTCCAATCAAGAAACTTTCGCAGGGATCCATTTATGGATAAAAATTGACCTTTGTCATTTTCACTTAAGATAACATTTTACCAAAGGGGTTTTATTTAGTTGTAGCAGAGGAATTGATAAAGCATTGAATATACTGTGTAAATTTTCTTCAAAGAATCAGAGGTCAAATATCTTGAGTGTTAATGAACTTTTACTTGTTGGCCTATTTTGGATTCAAACCCCTATGAATATTATTACCCTCCATAGCAGGCTTATAAGTTATAGAACTGGGGGTTTGGTGGTCTTCGGCTGTTTTCTGATTAGCCCAGTTCGGAATGAATATGGTACATGAGAATCCTGTAACTATCAGTAGAAGTCAACTGGCATGACTGCCTTTGGGTTGTAATGCATCACTTCCGTCCAGAGTGACTTGTGCAACAGCCAGGAGTAACCACTTTAACCTCGGGTTGCGTGGAACCCTGGTGGCATGGCCCCCTGCATATGGGCACCATATTGTTGGGACAGCGGGGTATTTCCTGTAAACAGGGAAGACGGATAGTACCAATGATGACGCAAATCGTAGGTATTTATAAGCGACCTTGCGAGGTTGATGGGGGAGTGATTTATAGCTCAAACAGACCAGGTACGTGTCAAATGCTAACTCCCATCAGGTGTTAGAACACTACCCCTTTAGCCAATAGGATCCCTCGTTTTCTGTGTTTGTATGTTGGTAGTGAAGAAAAAAGTGTGAGGTAAACAAACCCTTGGCATGACGAGCGAACAGGCAGAAGCAGCACCCTGGTTGGACGGGGCGAATCTACAGTAAAACCTGCCCAAGAAGACGGCTAAGGAGAGCAATAAAATCTGTTCTGTGTGGACAGGTGGTCACTATAGATAGGACTTTCAATTCTTGTGTCAATTATGCGGAAAATACTAAGGGACTACCAAAAAGTGATCACATTGGCCAAATGGTCCTCTTGCACTGGTTTGTCAGTGTATATCCAAACAAACAAGCTCATCCTACATTTTAACTATGACTTGAAGAAACCGTAATGTGTTTGTCTGCCAGATGAACCCCTGTAATCGTAGCCAGACAGGTGGGATTCCTGGGATGCCTGGCGATAATACCACCAACCTGGGTTATTACCCGTACAAAACAAACAAAAGAAAATCTCCTTGAAGACATGTGAAACATGGCTCGCTACAGGGAGTGCCCAACCGCTGCCAAGTGATTTTATCTAAGACGCATTATGAAAAGGAGGGTAGCGTTTTTCTTGTCCTGTGGACAAACGTATTCTGTTTCTCGTCTAGTCAGGTTATTCGACTTCCGAGTCATTTCACCTTCCTTTGTCTGTAAGTTCAAGGCTTTTATTCCACGAGCCTGGCGTGCTCCTGAACTGCAACTTGCTTGAGGGTGCAACTGGAAGGAAGATGACGTGCAGGGACCAGACAACCCGGAATGTCTGCAATGTTGAGCACATGCCTGCAACGTTACCCGTGATGAGAGAGATCTCGGAAGGTTCACAGGTACCCGAGGAAAGGACAGACCACAGTCAACACAAGGAAGTCCAGACTCCTGTCAGATTCCACCGTCTCCTCTCCAGTGATGCCTGTCACAGGAGTCGTGCTTTGTGTCTCCCCGTCGCTCCTGTCATCAGGTGTTCTGCCTGGAATAGTTAAAATAGTTGTGAGGCCAGAGGTCCTGCATACCAGCAGACAATTGTATCTGTGCCCTGGGACACCAGACTGACAGTGGTTCTTGTATTTTGCTAAGTAAAACTTGCTGTAATCCTACTTTGATATGAAGGTCAACATTTGGTTGGAAAGTCAATCCTTAGCTTAATCTCTGTTTTGACTGTAGTGCATCATTTTTCTGTGAATAACTTTGAATATACATACTTGTTTTTACCCAAGATAGCTTGTCCAATTATATGTTTAATCTTGAGCAGTAGAGGGGCACCAAATTTTTCATGGGTTATCAGGGAAGGTAAAATGCTGAGGGATAATTTGTATACTTATAAATGAATACAAAGAAATCATCTGTGTACAATGTAGTGGGAGATTTCTTCTTTTTTTTTATTCACACTTATTTATCAAGGATTGCGCAAAATGCAGGATGCTTATATACAGCCTTCTCCTCAAAATACATATACCGGTAATGAAAAAGACCACATACATTAAAAATACAAGATGGATAATGTAAAACAATCAAAAGGAGTTGGTGTGTAATCAATCAAGTTGAAGACCCACCATTACAAGCAATAAAGTATGAAGAATATGGAAATCTATTATACTTATTGAAAATATGAACAGATGGTGTTTTGCATGGTGCTAGATGTGGGACGTCCTCCCTAAAAGCTTCATCCTGTGTGAGATGAGACCTAATCAACGGTTGCCATCAAGTAATCAATTTTGCAGGCAGAGTGTCCTCGTTCCCCACTGTGCTGCTCAATGATGTTCAGCTGAAAAACTTTTCCATCGACATGATTAAAAGTAGCTGCTCATTTCTGGACAGTGTTTTCAGTTTGAACTAAGGGTTACATGACGTGACCACTGACATCTTTTTTCCATTGTGTCCTTAAAAGCAGACCGGCCGGACTGCTCCAAGGCGAGGTGTGCCATCGTGTTCTCTCCCCGCTGCCCGGATGATTCCATTCTGATCGAGGGGTACACGCCTGCTGGGGAGTGCTGCCCTCTGGCGAGCCGATGCGAGTGCAATCCTTCAGGCTGCCTGGAGAGGATGTGCCGCCCCGGGTACGAGAGGGTCCTGGTGTCCAAGGGCAAGGGTGAGCCGGGAGAGTGCTGCGATAAGTACGAGTGCAGACCCATGCTTCCAGGTGAGTCACTGCTGAGACTTGGATAAACATATCCCTTTTGATCATTGTTAAAGCAGCTAAAGATGTAGTTTGTATGTATTGTCTCCTGCTGGTTTTGCTGACGATGTTGTTTCTGGGTTCTCAGTTGCGTCAGAGCCAGAGGACTGCAGCTCAGTGGTGTGCCCAGAGTTCCTGTTGAAGTGTCCTCTCGACAGCGAACCTGTCCCTTCTGACCAACCAGAGGATAGCTGCTGCCCACTCCCCCCAAGGTATGTGGTACCTCCTACATTAGCAGCACTCACTCCCCCCTCCCCAATATGTGTTCCCTCCCACATTAATCTTCAAGTAGATACATGTACATGTTGTTTGGTTCCATGTTTTGGAGGCTCTTTGCTTCACATCTTTCAAGCATCCAGTGGAAGCAATGGAAACATGGACCATTAAAAGGTGTAGGAAGTGCCTCAAAAACACAGCTGAACACTGCATCTGCTTGGAGATTTCTACCTCCCCCCTCCCAGGGATGTGGTACCTTCCACCTTAGTGTTGTTCTCATTGCTGGGAAAACTAAACAAAAGTCATGACAACCTGTTGGCCAGGAAGGTGGACAGACTGTGAGAATTAGAGCAGTTGGCACAGTCTGCCTGGAAGAGACAGTTCTGTGGGTAACCGCAAATTTAGCAAAAAATTGATGGGTTAAACCTGATGGTTTAGCTGGCTGCTCAATAGCAGTAGTTAGCAGGCTCAGCGGGGAGCGGCTCTCCTGCTGTTTTCAGGAGAGGGCAAGCTTGGTTGGCTCCTCTCTCTAGTCAAGGTGATGTCAATCTTTTCTTAGAAACCTGCCTGAAACTGATCCCATGCTAGTTTGGTTGTTTTGGCATGGTTTGTGCCTTTGGAGGATGATGACCTTGATTACCTAAATTAAGGGGCGTGAGGGAGCTGTCAATTTCACATGCAGGCAGGGTTGATTTGTCATGGAGGTCAGGGCAACCCCCTCGCCCAACCTTCAGACCTGCTGCAGATGAAATTTGAGGACTGATGGTACAAATTTTTTAATACAACACAGCAGAGAGTTTTAATTTAACCCATACATCAGCTGTGTTGTCCTTCAGACACAAAGAGCACCCCCTGTACTCCACATCTGGAAAAACACAGCAATTACCCCTACAAGATGTATGTTATACTGTCAAATGGAAACTGTGGGCTAGTATTAGCCATGGAATTTAGGTCAGCCTCAGCTCAGCCAGACTAGACCAGCCTCAGCAAGACTAGACCACATTATTTGAAGCTAGCACAGGGAGTCTTTGCTGGGAAGACATTGTAGATACATGTACATGTAGACTGCATTGAAATGAAAAGTCTTGCTATACATGTATGTGAACATGCTGTCAGAGAGTATTCCATAGTCAAGTCTTTTTGTGGGTAAGATTAGTTAGACATGGCCAGCTGGTTTTCCTATTACTCTGACCTTGGCCTGACCTTCCTGTGGTCTCTTTGTTTGACCAGCCTCCTTCATGAACTCCTAACACTTAATTTTAGGTCTATTAAAGCTGGAATTTAAAGAGGGGGTAAAGAAACATGGAAATCTGCACATTTATTTTGTGGAATGTACTACTTTTCTTTACACATAATGTTCTGGCTCAGGATAATTAAGACACCAGTTAGATCCATTACCTTCTGATACCTTTCTGTAGTTAACCTTCAGTTTAGTCAATCCAGCCAAAAGAAATCCACATTAACTTGAAGTCTACATGTATGTCATGATTCAGATGATTGTAAATAGTTCTGTACTATTTGAGGATGGAAAAACAGGGCTGCATATCCCACGGTGCTGGTGCATTGGCTACCGAAGACGACCATAAAGATGAACCCTGCTTGTTTTTGACCCAATGTCCTGCACTGGGTCATGTGTATGTCTCAGTCATATATTTTACTGCTTCACATGCACAGCCTCGAGCACAGCACGCCTGGGCAGATACAGGAGATCAGAGGCTCTCAGTCACAGCTGTTAGATATGTTCCCAGCCAGCGTCCAGTACTTGTCCCCTTGCTGACCCAAGAACTTTGACCTGAAATTTGCGCTGGCCATTGATCATTTTCCAGTGTGTCCTTAGGTACACAATAGTGACCTTTACTGGCATCCTTGTTAGATGCTCAATGGCAAACAGAGAAAAAGACTGCAGGTCACGTAGATGGATAGCTGGGTAAATTCTTTTTTGTAGGATATCAAAGGCAGAATTCAGAAGAGCAGAATCCGCTGATGTAGAGCGGGACAAATAACAGAGGATCGCAGACGACATCTATGGAATCAAAACATGTTCTAATGTAGTCGTAAAGAAATTTGTTTGGCATGTAGTGTTTTGAGAGCAGCGTGACCTTTGCGGCAGAAACATTCACACTACTCATGACACTACATCAGTACAGAGGATGTCCACAGAACAGGCCTGTTAGTGCTCAGGTTAGACAACTATTTCTGGACAACAAAGTTGTTACCAAATATGTGTTCGTTACCAGGTTAGGCAGCAGGAAGAAGGTTATTGAACCAGCAGAAAACTTGGGCATCTGCTGAAAGATACAGGTAAAACGTAATAGCAGGGTGGGATGGAGGTGGTGGTTCTTCATGCATTCCATCCAATGATAGGTGGCCTGGCTTGGTCAGAGGTGGTCAAGCCACAGTACATCAAAATTCCTCTTCCTGAACTGTCCTTGACCAAAATGACAAGGTTGACAGCGGATGTTCAAGTGGGTCAGACTTTCATCAGCCGGTAATCAGCCCCAGGAAACGAGGGGGATTACAGGAGGGCCTGTTGACGACCCTTTGCTAATCCGGGCGCTCACCTTCTTTTGTGGGCGACCAGGCATTTGTCACATAGAGCAAACGGAACGACACATGCGTAATTGGGTCTGACATTGTAAACCTGCTAGGGACATTCTTCGCTAAGATTAATCAGTTGATCAGGTCCCAACAGCTCTTTTGACTGAGGATTTCTTTAGTGGGGAACAGGTGCATCGCAGGGCTGGTAGGGCAGATGCCCAGGTCTCCAGGCCTGACCTGAATTGGTCATGACACTATCAGTCTGGGGCATTTGTCAGACTTTGCTGCTGACAATGATAGATGTGGTGCAGAGGTCTTCAGCTGGAGAAAGGAAAAGGGCTGGTTTAGTGGTGCTGAACTCCGTTGTTATCTGCCAATAACTTTGTTGGTCATAAAAAAGATGGCAGTGTTTTCTTCGTTGGCACGTGCAGAGATAGTTGTTTGTGTGTGTTCCAGGGCTGACCCCACCACTGCTTGTTTTTAAAATCAGGACTATGGGATCCAGTTTGTTATTTTGATCCATGACAGAATTACTATGATGACAACACAGTTCATAAATTTAGTCCGGCAGGACATGCCAGGGGCTCACAATTTCACACTTGCATGCCAGTCCTGTCTGCTGTTTTTCTTGCCGGGGGCACTGGACAGGCCTTCCTGGCATACAGGGCATACCTCTTCCTCACACTCTGCCTCCAGGTCCCTGTGTGTGTGTGTGCCCAACGTCTGACAATGTCCCTCCAAAAGCTGTGAAAGTCTCCGTAAGTTAGGCATGCCTCGGCCTGACTGTGGAGGGATGGATCCATCTGCTCATACCAGAAATTCTGTCTGGTCAAATGCCTAGTGGACACTGAACTGGGGGGTTCTCATGTCAAACTGTATACAGTACCTTCACTCCTCTTCAGGGTCTTGATGACAATAATCTCCAAGCAGATGTTGGGTAGAAAACTGTAATGTTTCCCGACTGTCACCACCAGCCACCGTCAGAATTCTAACTTGACAATTTTCTACCCTAACATTTGCTTGGAGATTAGGTTGCAAGTCCCGAGAAAGAATAAGTTGTGAACAGCTAATTAATGAGGCACATTCATTCAAATAAGGCATGGGCAGAAAGGGATTGGGATTCAAACCCAGAACCGCTAGAGGTAGATTCTAAGTCAATAACCTTCACCACAAGACTACATGTATCTTGCCATCTGACAAGACCACCTTCGGGGCAAAATAAACTAATTGTTATTCTCATCCTTGTTACTGTAGCTGTGAGTGCCGCCCAGGAATCTGTGAGGAGACGAGCCAGTGTGAGGACGGGACAGTCCGCAGGGTCATCAAGAAAGGAGAGGGCAAGCCAGGGTCCTGCTGCGACGTGTTCGAGTGTGTACCAGGTACGGGCGTTTGTTCCTTCACTTCTGCACTGGTTTGATATCTCACTCACAGTCAAAGTTAATTGCATGTCAATTGTAACAGGTACAATGTAAAGCAAAGTGTTGTTTGAGACAGCTAGCTAATTACATCAATCATTATGATTTTCACCTTACTGCTTCTGTCCTGATGGCACAGCTTTTTACTATCTTTACAGCAGCAGAAAACAACTCGACATGCATGCACAATGGGACGGAGTACAGTGAGGGTGAGACCTTCAGGCCAGACCCGTGCCACTTCTGCAAGTGCAGCGGGGGCCTGTCCTTCTGTTTCACCGCCCAGTGTGGCGACCTACAGTGCCAGAACTACTATGTCCCTGACGGGGAGTGCTGCCCTATCTGTGAAGGTCAGTTTGATTATAAAACTTTTTAGTAGGCAGTGCCATTTTTGGGGGGATTCTCTGATGTAGACAAAAAAGAATGCTAACATCTAGGACAGAGAAGGAGGGGACTGATTCAACTTTTTTGTTTAAAAGGTGCCTGACAATAAAAAAAAATAAAATTCGTAAAGTTTATATTTCAACATAGGCGACATTTGTCCTTGGGAAATGTGCTTTTGTGTAAAGCATCTACAGGCTAATCAACCCTTATCTTATCCAAGGATGTTATTTCATTCCAGTATCTGTCTATCATAGAACACCCCCATAGCACTATCAGGTTAGAACAACAGGCTTGCCCATGGCTAAACTAAGTGCAAAGGGGACAAGCTAAGAGATAAGGCAACTGCATTTGTCAGCATCATGCAAAACAGATTATAAGAATTGGGTTATATCTACAAAGTAGAGGGCAGTTGTACGTGACTGTCACCTACAACTGCAGGCTGCATTTTGATTGGTATCTGTGCATCTACTAGACTCCGTTGCCTTCCCCCTTTTTTTTGTATTGTGTTGGAATTGGGCAATCTATTTTTAAACACGAGTCAATACTGGAGAAAGGGAGAGGGTATTCGGACTTAGCTGCCCTGCCCGGTCCACCTAAACCGCTGCCCGGTCCGGTCCGAGGCCGCTAATGGGGGTTTTGCGTATCCCATGCGCCGGAGCAAGCATTTCGCTCCCGGCGCAAGGACTCGGTTTGCTAGCTGAGGACTTTCCACAACCATGATGATATCATACTTAAATAAAGGAATATATAATAGATCTATCATGTTGAAATGATAATTGTAATACATGGTTTGTTTCTTATTTTGAGGAGGGAAACACGGGGGAAACTGTCAAAAATCGAGGGAACGCAAACTGAGATCGGCTCACTTCCGGGTGCATAACGCCAAAATTTCTCGACGATTGTATAAAAATGACCACTCATTTGCCGCCTACGGTAGCGTGTACATGGTAGTGCGATCATATCGTGCCAAAGTCAGCGTCAAACGTCAGAAAATCCCCGTAAAAATATAGTTGCAAAACACATTTCCCGCGCACTCATGGCCGGCCGCCGGCATGTGAAGCAGCATGCACATTATAATATGCAAGTAGCTACGCTCTGATTGGTTCACCTTAGATGACCTGCGCTCTGATTGGCTAGAACGAAGCCCGTTGCATGCTGGGGCGCCCTTCCCCGCGCGAAGTGCGATCTGGAGATAGCCACATTTACGCTGGTTTCTACCTTATTTCTACGACTAATTAGCAAAATCCTAGTGACGAAATGCGTACTCAAAAGAATTTTCGGGAAAAATACATATGCACATGTGGATTTGTGGTGCCTTTGGCGTAATTTTGTTGGTCACGTACAACGTAATGTAACACGGAAGTGCACGGAGTCGGAGTCGCGGCACGGCTTTCTGTCCCACTCTAAACAAAACCCCAAGGACATAACAAAACTCCCCAAAACTGGTCAATAATTAGCCATAAAAATGTTTGTGGGCACGTGTAAATATGCTGCCTTTTTTCGAGTGTTATAGGAATTATTCGCGATGTTTTTGCACATCCCTAACGTTACCTCACGCCGGGCCCGCCGCCTATTATGTACGGCGGACCGGGGTATTTATAACAGTTAATTCAGATCATATTCGGTGGTAAAATAAGTAAACAAACAGAGAAAAACAGCAAAATAAAGTTGACAAACTATCGAAACGCTTGCATGGGCAACACTGACAAAAGAAAATGTCGATCTAATTGATGCGCCGGTTTTAAACGTTACTGTTATATAGTAAAATGCGGGCTAGATCAACGTTCCTTTCGCTGTTCCAGCGGTGTGTATCGGTAATTTCCCGCCCCGCATGAGGTAAATTAGTACTCCTCCCACGATTCCTGTGATGTTACCGCGCCTGCATATGAATGGAGAAGTCTGACGAAAAAGAAACGCGTTACTTTCGGAAAAGTAACGGAAAACTTTCGGAAAAGTAACCAGTTAATAACGGAAAACTAACGGGGAAAAAACGCGTTAGTAACGGCCCTTAGGGTAACTATAACGCGAACGGTACTGTATTATGGCCGGGTCCTTGCGCCGGGAGCGAAATGCTTGCTCCGGCGCATGGGATACGCAAAACCCCCATTAGCGGCCTCGGACCGGACCGGGCAGCGGTTTAGGTGGACCGGGCAGGGCAGCTAAGTCCGAATACCCGAAAGGGAGAAGGACATTCTTAACTAACTTTGACCTACTTACCACTGTGTGTCAGGAAATGCACATGGCGAGGCAGGCGGAAGTCCGACAAACAGATAAAGGATGATCAGGACATGATGCTTTTTGTCTTACTGTGATATGGCCGTTGATTACATGATTGTGCAGCTTATCTTTGTTTACCAGTCTCACCATGACTACACTCAAGAAGCAGGTTTGTCCTATGATGGCTCCATGCCAACTTGTGCAAACTGTGTCTAACTCTGCAATAAAAGAAAAAAAATTTGAAAGGTACAGGTAAAACTGGTCTGGTGCAGGTGGTTTTGAATGTTACTTGCACCAGTGCAGGTACATTATGTAACAAGCCCTGTGACTTCTAATGAACACATACATTATTAACTCCAGATCTTTACCCTCTCCACATACCCAGACCCATGGCCAGGCCCTGTCACCAATCTCTTCTGCATGACGGACAGCGGAGAGCTCCTCGCACATGGAGACCACTACAAAATGGACGACTGTACCTTCTGTACCTGCAGCAATGGGGACCTGCACTGCACAGCCACGGCTTGTGCTGTCCACTGTTTTAACCCTAAGAAGATTCCGGGAGAATGCTGCCCAGTTTGTGAAGGTAGTGATCAGAAGGGCAGCCCTCTGCCTTTGTATTCACTTCTTGCCATTGTCTTCCTAGTTTTTGTAGGACAGTCTACCTGACACCTTCAATGGTACAAGCACTTCTACCTTTGCTTTCTCTTTTTTCTGTTGCTTAATCCTTGCAGGATCCATTGGCTGCAATCCCTTCAATGCCAGAAATCTGGATTATGTTGTGTTGTTATTGTCATTTTTTTTAACAACTTCTGTTTCTTTTCTTTTCTTTGGGCCAGGTCTTGAATGCTGCTTCAGCATCTAACGTGTCTGCTTTCTTTTCTGTTGCCACTGTGTAATCACTTTGTAATGTTTATTTTGCTTTTGACTGAAGGATAATCTGTTCCTACATATCCTACATGTCATTTCTTCCTTCTGTCCTTCTGAAGTGATTTCATTCTTATAGCCTATCTCAGGTGACATCCACCTCTACAGCTGTTATTGAACTGTCGTACGGTAGTTTTGCGCATAACATTGAAGCTTGTAAGATTATGTTTTAATTTTTTTTTGTAAATTCCTTGTTGATGATTTGTGACATTGTTTGGAAAGTTTCTTTTGCTAGCTCTTGTAAGCGAAATCCTGATAGACTTATAATGCCTGTGTGTTGAGTAACAACCAAGTTGTTCTTCCTCCTCCTGCAGAACCTACTTACATCACCATCCCCCCTCCCGTCTGCCCTGACATGGAGAACTGCACGCTGGCCTGCAAACACGGCTTCAAGTCAAACATCTTCGGCTGTCCGGTCTGTCAGTGCCTCACAGGTAGGTGTCAGCAGACTCACACATCTGCAGGGGGCTATCTTTGTCACAACCACAGCCAGGGGCAAGAAATGTTTGAAGCCGGGCCCCTTGTTGTGTCTGGCAGAAACAGGTTTCTTTCAAAGCCGGCGGTGACCTCTTGAGATCAGTCACATATGAAAGGCCCGCTTTAGAGACACTGTAGCATTCGTGGACCTCAAACAAAAGCATGTTTTGCATTTGCTAACATTCAAGTTATATAATGTTAGATAGGCTTGGACAGACAAAATAGAAGAAAAAAGGGGAGCACAAAACGTTTACACACGTGTCAAGAACTGTTGTTGCCTTCGAGTTTCATGTGACACGACTTACCAAAACTTCAGACATCTTTATTGACTTATCGCACTCACACTAAATCCTGGAAGCTGAACCTCCCATACAGACAGAGGTATTTCCCAGCCATGCTGTTAATGGGTCAGACAGGCTTGTTGTGACCCGCTCCAGTAACACAAGGTTTTCATCTTAAAAATCACATACTTTTATTTCCCACCGACATTTGATGTCTTATTACTGTGATTTCATCTGTATAAGTTTGAATTTCCGTTTCTTTTTAAAATTCATTAATTTTTTTCTTGAGTTATTGCTGTTAACCTATGCTTTAACATATTATTTGTAATTAGCGTTATTTATCAATCACTTTTGTTACTCATTGTTACTATTTGTTTTGTTACCATTATCATATTGATCATATTGATCAAATTTATTAACTACTTATTGTTATTTATTGTTACCATTTGATTTGTCAGTATTATTTCAGTTGTTAATTAATTTTGTCGGGGAAGATCCCAGACAAGCCACTATGGCTTCATATCTTTCCCCAGCATTTTATTTTATTGTCAGTAATATGTTCATTTTATTGTTTTTTTTATATATATGCGAACCAATAAACAAACAAACAAACAAACATAAAGTCACCTAAAGAACGTAGTATTTTGAATTCAAGAACTAACAAAATAAATTGGTTTGGACTCAGCTAACTAGGAGCAGGAGGCTGTTAATAGTGTTATGAGCTCATGATCATAAGAGAAAATAGGGAGATCAGACTTTGTTGCAAACTGCTGATTTCCAGCAAATTCATTTTTTGTTCCAGGGCCAAACATTTAATTTATACCATTTTCAGGGATTTCAATTCAATATATTTTTTTTCTCGACTAGCACAAAATTCCAAACTAAAATGAAAACCCTGACTTTTATTGTTCCACAGAAGAAGAACTGTGTCATGGAAGCCTGGACAACTGCGACCTTCACTGTCCATATGGGTTCAAGGTCAACCGCCAGGGCTGCGAGACCTGTGAGTGCAAGCCTGCCCCCAAGAAGTGCAAGTCCATGGAAGATTGTGACAAGAGGTGCCCCTACGGCTACAAGATCAACAAGCATGGCTGCGAGATGTGCCGGTGCAATAAGTGTCCTGAGTTCGTGTGCGAGAAACACTGCACCTTCGGCTACGTGCAAAACAGCAAGGGCTGTGATATCTGCAAGTGCAAAGGTCAGTATCAGTGACCAGGATAAAACTAGCACACGGCACTTCTGGCTACCCAAAATTGCCCTTAAATCTTTGCTTAAGCAACCTGTTAAATAACAGCATTACAGCGTTATTACAACATACTACCAGGTGAAATTTGTCCGGTGCAGATAATTCCAAACTAGAAGTGCAGGTATGGATTTCAATCCCTGACTCTACATGCAAACCCACCCAAGAAGTTTCAGATGAATTTTGCGGGTGATAACTTACCAGGGAAAGTCGGAAGCAGACAGACAGCTTGCCGTCCCGAGCAGCGTGCTCCCCCAGCGTTTGTTTGCACCTTGGTGTTAGTTCCTGGATATCCTGGAGGTCGGCCAGCCATCAGGCAGGCATGTGGCTCCCAACAGACATCTATTGTACCCCCTCACCCAGTCTTCTGTTGAATAATTTTTTTACACAAAAGTCATGTCTCCCACGACGATTTGGGACAATGTTGGCCTGCCTTTCTTTTAATGTCTTTCACTTGCATTTCCATTTCTTCTCTTGCATTAGTTAGTTCTGGTCAACTGGTGTTACTTTATACATCACATTAAAAGTTTATAAGTTCAAACATTTCAAGTCCTGCATGACTCTTCCAGCCCGGTGACCAATGTTTTGTTTCCCTCTTGTGTTCTGCAGAGGCTCCTTTCCTGCCTCCGTCCTTCCCCATCCCGGCCGACTCGTGTTTGTCGATGGACGGGCAGCGGTACGAGGACGGTGAGGGCTGGCACGACGGCTGTCGCGAGTGTTACTGTCATGGTGGGCAGGAGATGTGTGCGCTCATCACGTGTCCCGCTCCCAGCTGCAAACAGCCCATCATCAGAGCTGGCCAGTGCTGCCCCACCTGTCCTGGTGAGTGCTTTGTGTCTCTCCTGTTTTTGCTGCATCTGCTGTCCTATACCATGGGGCCTGGTAAACAGTCAATGTCCAGGTCACATTAATTCATATTAGCTAGTACTTTTACTTGTTTTATTTTTTAGGGACCCATGCTTCTTTTCTGTAGCCTTACCACTAGAACGTTCTGTTATTCTAAAACCTCCAAATGGTAAACCTGTGGATGATCAAGTTGCATCTTGTCTTCAATCACAGTCTTGTCATCCTTGTTAAAATCTCTATGATCTCCCTTGTTGAAATGGATACCCAATAAACCAGACACGATGGAGATACATGATGTGCCTACTCTTTCAAAAATGGTCAACATGTGGATGCTCGAGTTACATTGTCTTTGTCTACATCACTGATCTGCTTGTTAAAATTCTTACAACCTCAGCTGCTGACAGTTATGCCCGCCAAATCTGATCTGATAGACATACAATATGTCTTCCTCCTTCAAGCCAGTAAAACTGGGTGAAGAGGTTTAATTTGACCTTCCTTGAAGGAGAACAGAAAGGAAAAAAGACACAGAGGGAAGAATGATTGTGTAATTTGACCTTCTTTGAAGGAGAAGAAACAGCGGGAGGGGGGTTTGGACAATGTAACTTGACCTTCTTTGAAGGAGAAAGAACGTGTATGGAACAGGGGTCTGCCGCTGACATTGTCGACCTTGGCAGGAAGGAACCCTTAACCTGTCACAACACCGGCAGCACCCTGGGCCTTTGTTGTGAGTTGATACAAGTGGCCGTGTGGAATTAAGGCATGCTGCTCTCTCCATGTCCCACTGCCTCCTGTATATTTTTGGTGGTGCTCGCCAACATGTGTGTTCCTCACTTGTGAAAACAACAGGCACAGGGTCTGCACCTGGGGGAAGGGAGGCGGGCGTATTCCTTTCTCATAATTGTCATGGGCTGCAAGGAGTTCAGCTAGTCTCGTGTTCCATTTAATCAGTGCAGGTGTAGAAAAGAATTTTTTTTCTAGCTATACAAATGGAAATGTATTTTTTTACGTTATCTTTGTCAAACATTCAGTGGCTATTTCTGACATGAGAAGGTTACGGTATGGACAAAAATAAACCTGACAAGTTTTCATTAATCAATTAATTCATTCCCAGATGATGTGGACAATGCCTCCAAGCCTGCGGCGAACCCCACGGTGTGCCACTCGCCCGGCGGGGAGTACTTTGTGGAGGGAGAGACGTGGCAGTTGGACCAGTGTACGCAGTGCACGTGCCACAATGGACAGGTCCTGTGCGACACCGAG